CACTCACAGGAGGCTTTCTAGAAAGAGGAGTGTGAGTTCTCAAGCAGGTCCAGGAATGGCTTCAGCAGGGAAAGGAGAGGAAGCTTGGCTTTTCCTAGTGGCTTGGAGGTAGGGTTGCAGTGAGGATTCTTAGGTGGTTTGAACTTCCAGTGGCCACAAAGGTGGAAGCATTGGAGCTTTCTTACTGGTATGTCCTGATATGGGGCAGAAGGGGGAATGGTAGGTTTTAAAAACTCAGCCAGTCAGACATGAACAAATGAGTCAGACTGTACTATAAAGTTGTACTAAGTTTACAGCATTTTTTTGACCTAGGCTTTTGAGGGGAGAAAAATTTGGTATTTCAGGATTTTTAAAAGACAGAAAATGTATTTCTGAGACAATGCCAATCAGTGATTCCCCATAAGGAGATATATTAGAATATTGAAGAGGGGATACATTTTCAAACTATGCCTTTGCCCTTCACCCTCAGGACTCTAAGAAGATTCTGATCCATACTGTACCACCTCTATAAGTATGAAGCCTCACTGTGCCATGGGCACTGTTGGGAGTAAGTCATATGTACTAGGGCAGAAAAACAAGAGAACCACTTGAATTATGACTCAACCACTTTAGACCTTTGAATTTAATGTCCCCTCATTCTGGGGTGATTTTAACTTCTGGCACCAACTTCTCACTCTTCATCCTAATCTTGAACCTTTGTTCATATTCCCTTTACTTTTACGGCCCTTCAGCAACCAGATCTCAACTAGAAATAGTCTTTGCTCAAATACTTGGCACTCCATATCTATCTTCTTACCATTTATCTTACTCTCTTGTATTTTTTATTATTTGTTTATACACCTTATCTCTGCAGCCAGATCACAAGCTACTTGACCGCAAAGTTCATGACTGATTTTCTTTGCATCCATTAGTCATATAAATATTGCTAATAATAATAAAGATGTCTTAAATATGTTTAATAAGTGAGTGAATAAATGGAATCTCAGGTTTTGATACTTTTTGATAATATGCAATGCTATTATAGTTACAACCAGGTAAACTGAGTAAGTCACCAAAAGAAAATCCCAGTTTTATCTGTATAGGGAAAGCATGAATTTGACTTAGACACACTCATACAAACTCCTCATGCTTTTAATCAAGATTTCAGTGAGTCAGTAAATAACTTTTCCTTTGGGGTTTCAGGTGTTAGGCTTTCCTTACCAGTGTCTATCATCTTTATATCATAAAAATGAAGTAACTCTCAGACACATTTGGTTTACTGTAATTTCAAAAATGCTTTTTAGTCTGCTAAAAGGCATTTACATATCCATCATCTCTTCACAATACTGCAGTAAACTGTGAAACAGAATCATTACTAATGAGAAAACAGACTGAGAGATTAAATGACTTAATGGCCATAGAGCTAATAAATGAGGGGAACAGGGCTACACTCAGGACTCCCTGCTTACAAAGCTCAAGCTTTAACCACTTAATAGAGAGATTTGTGGTTTACTTTCATTTTTATAATTATTTGAGTTAATAAATGTTGACCTAGAGAAAATTTCTTTGAAGCTAGCCATCTAAAGAAATAGCTAAACATGCATGTTTCTAGGGTCTTAAAAATTTTTTTCCTCTCTATATATACATGTATATACATAATTTGATGTATGTACTACATATTAGTGCATATATATAAGATCTTTTTAAAAATCTTGGCTCTGTTTACCCCTCAGAAAGAGTCAAGATACCATCTTAATTACATTAATCAAATGATTAGACTTTAGGATTTATCTGCAGCTTTCCTAATAGGATACATTGCTGTGACTGAGTCTTGCTTCTGCCCCTCCAGCAATCCCTCGTCTTCCAATAGGCTTTTTAATTAAGAGGCCAAGAAGCGCTGAACATGCTATTGCATCACTGATACAGGTCTGAAAATCTCCCCTGGCTTTCGTGTGAATGTCTATCAGCTCACCATGAAGGGAAGGATGCCTTTGCCCCCTACAATCGAAGTTACACATTTTCTGAATTAGGTATTACATATACTATCCCATTTAATTATCACAACAGCCCTTTAAAACATAAATTGTCATTTTCTTTTACCAAAGAAAATTGTAGCTCAGCAGGGTGACAATAGCTAAGTGACACAAAGTCACAACAGATGGGGTGGAGAAGCAATTGTATCAAGGTGGGGATGATTCAGGGTTTTGTTGTTGTTCTACTATTCTAATGTAAACAAAACACAATTATAACAAAGACTATGCAAAAATATTGGGAGGGGGGAGCTCAGCAATTCCATTGGTTAACAAGCTAATTAAAATCATAGTGCTAGAATGGATTTTGGTGACATACCAACATCCTTATTTAAATTGATAGGGAAACTGAGGCTCAGTTATGATGATCACCTGAGGTCACACATCTAGTTAAAATGCAGAGCTGTGATTCAGACACAAGCCTGGCTTCAAGTCCAGTGATCTTCTCACTGGAATACATTGCCAGTCCCAGAGCTAGCTCACTAATTTCAGACTTAGCCTGGATCCCATGAATATGATGATTCTGACAAGATAAAGCCATAGGTTTGTAGTCTAAGTGTGTATTTTGCTACACAGCCTTCTACCTCCCCGCTACCCTGCCTGTAAAATTCATCCAGACATCTGTTGTTTCATATCCGTAATTTGTTTTGAGATGCCTTGAGGGGTTGCATGTCCTGAGTGCAAATCAGCATCCTAGTAAGATGCAGAGTGGAGACCCGAGTCTCATACTAGCTTTTCCCTTTCATTTCCCTCCTACAGAGTAGAGTAACACTTCACTTTTAAGAGGCCATTAATTAGCACTAGATTAAAAGTACAACTACTTAAGCATTACTTGCCTTACCCAGAGGAACACTGTGAAGCTCAAGCCACGTTTATTCTACTGATTGGAGTAACAGAGTACCCCTCTGCAGACTCAGACTGGAAGGTACACTGGCCCATAGTAGGTAGTCAATAAATACTGAATGAATCATTGCTCCAAAACCTTAAATTCTATGTAACCACTCAAAATGATAAAGGGACTTAACCAACCTGTAAGTCAATTGTTTGCCACTAGTTTTTTATACACCTTATACAAGGGCTTGTCTGAGTATCCCTTTTTATTAATCTAAGGGGGCTACAGTAGGAAGAATCAGGTTACTGGAGTCCCATTAAGTCAGGTCAATAACTGAACCAATTAAACAACTGAGAACATATTCTATACTAGGCACCATGTTACATGCTGTTAGCTAGTTAGCCCTCAATAAAGCTCAAATATATGGACAGCAGATAATTGCAACACAGTGATTTATATGATAATAGGAATATGAAATAGAGAGACAGTAGAAAGAAACAGATGAACTTGATATATTTGGAGACTTGTGAGGGGAAAGACATATCCAAGAAAGGTTTTAATCGCCAAATAGAAACCTGTTAAGCAAGAAGAAAGGAATTGTTTTGCAAGGTTGGACCACTTCCTACCACCAGGCAACTAGATCTTTTGGGCAACTAAAGAATAAAAGCCATCATTTATTGAATATTCCAGAAAAGAAACCAGGAATTTTCACATCTGTTATCTCACTCCCTTCTAGGAGACAGGGATCATTTTTATTTTCCAGAAGAGGAAGAGTTAAATGACTTGATCAAGGTCACATGACTAATAACACAGAAGTAGATGACCAATGTTGTAGTTCAGTGGTTTTCAGAAAAGTATTCTGTAGATTCACAAGTTTTGCAATTGTAGCACAGGAGGTAAGGTAAAGGGAGGAAACAGCATATTTTCCAGCTGCACAAACCTGCTTCAACCAGAGCAGCTGCTCTTCGATCTACTTTGCATTATAGACTTCCATATAAGACTTTATTTGGACAAGGATACTGCTGCTTTAAAAAACAAAGCAAAAAAACAGCTGTAATTGAGCAAAGTAGTTTCTTGGGAACCTAGTCTGCAATTTAGTCAACATGGCAGATAATTAAAAATTGACCATACTAAGCACAGCCTAAAATATGCACATCAAAGGGGAAAAAGAAAAAACACTCAAATCACATTTCCATTTTGAGCCAACAGATACCTGCTTTACTTGAGGGGAAAGGCATGACTGGTTTAGGTAAGTAGAGATCTAAATGCTGAATGTCACTCAGGGATAGCACCTCTTTCCAAAAGCATGGGCAACTGGAGGATTCCTGGCCTTATTTACCTGCAGTCAGCCCACAATATTATATTTATTTCTCTACTGCAGTGTGCCAAAGGCCTGAGTCACTTACTGCCTCAGCAAGTCCCCAAAGACAGACGTCCTGCTGCTAGGTGCCCCCACAGATAGAGTGGCTCTAACAACTAGTGGAGTCATTTGTGATGCACTTTTAATTGTATCAATTTCCTCTCAATTACCCAATCTTTGAAAATCTGATGCAATTTCATAATCAGAATATGGGGCTTTCTCCAGATTAAAAAAACAAGACAAACTAGTTCAACATCATTTTAGTGACCTCTTCACCTACCCTTTGGCAGCTATTACAACACAAGCCAAAGAAACATTACTACCATAAAAACAATTTTGAGCAGCTCATTTTAGCAAATTTTGTTTCCATGAAAGCAAGGGAGTTGCTCTTTGGCTTGGCATCAGCCTTGCACGTAGAGTAAGATATACTGCTTAGTAAACATCAAAGCCTCAGGAACCTCATCACAGGTTCTCTCACCCATTTCTGATCTTAAAAACAAAACTAACTTCCCTTTTGTGAACTGTAATTATAAACATAAAACATATAGCAGAAGCTCAATTTAGAATAGGGTATTGGTGACCATAAACCTTGGGTGGATGATTCTGTACACGTGTATTTGGGAGAAAGATTTGGATTATTATATTTACATAATAGTGCTTTTGGCTGAATTTTAATCTGGGTAGCTACCTACACTCTCAAAGAACACAGTGTGAGCTAAGGAAGCAAAATGGCATAGTGGAAGTTATCCCTCTTATCATCTCCAAAATCCTGTATTTAATTAAAAGACATAAACACCAGTGAGGAAGAAACAGTTCTCAATTATTTAATGCTTGGCAGAGAAATGGAAAGAGATCCTGAAACCAAATAGTATGAACTCACTTGAGGAAAATACAGAATAACAAACCAACAGTTTTGCTCTTTGTTTTAGTAATAAACATGAAAATGTGTCCACCTCCCCACTTTGTTGGCCCTGGCCTGTGTTGCACTTTCAATAGACACAGGCCAGAAGAGAGAGGTAGTATGAAAAATGATGAGCCCTAATGACTATCCAAGTATGCTGACTGTATCAGCAGTTGTTCGCTTATTCCCAGCTTCCAATGCTTTGGCATAATTCCAATCCACAGATGCTTCTTTAAAAGGCCAGCAATTTCCAGGCTGAAGTCGTCAATACCATCCAACTAGGGTCAATCCATTCTGTCACATCTCCAACTTTCAATCCAAGATGGCACAGATCCTCCAGCCAAGAGGTACTGCTTCCTAAAGGGCCTGTGTATCCCCTTTGGTAGCACTAAATGAATGAGCTTTCACACTGGTGAAGATGACTGGACTGAGACATCATATTACAGGAATATGATGTCTGAAACGTCACTGAAAGGTGGAGCAGAGACCACTGAAGCATGCACACTGAATCCAATCAGAGTTGAAGAGGAAGTGTCACAGATGAAGCACATTATAATAGGAAGGAAACAATGAATCAAGGGCATCAAAGCCAAAAGGAAAAAAATCAAGGATTTAATACAAGGGCAAATGTCAAACATGGCACAAAGGGCTAAAGTGGCTCTTTCTACTAAAGCCTTGGAAGTGCCTAATTGCTAATCAAACTTCAGCTAACACCATCGTATGTCCTATTTGGGCAGTGCATCTTTTAAAGCTCTAAATTTAGGTGGAAAGCGGGGAGGGGAAAATAAAAAACACTAAAAGATGGAGCTTCTGAAGTTCTAGAACTACCCAGCTGGAATCAAGACATAGGCCAAGTCTACTCTATATGAGCCACTAACAACCAAGAACTAAGGGAAGGGAGGTTGGCTAGGGAGCAGAAGAAACTGGTATTTCTCATCTCCTATGGGGTAGAATATCTTCTCAGATGGTAGCTGTAGATCTTGATGCAATGATCCCAACAGTCTAAGACGAGCAGCTGCCCCTTGGGAGTGAGGGCTATGCCCACCGGACAGGTAAGTCCTTCTCGAATAAGGACACTATAGCCCCCACCCTTAGGAAAATGGAGAATTTCCTTGCGACTACTATCAGCCACGATGAGATCACCACGAGCATCCACACACATGCCAGCAATGCAGCGGAAATCCTCATTCTCCGAGAAGAAGTGGCTAATCTGGCGACCCAGCTGCCCATCAGGGCCTACAGAGCCAATGGAAAAGCCACCCTCCAGGTGGTGCTCATTCTGCCGATTCTCCAGATTAAGGCCTAAGCCCTGGGTGAAGTAGACGGTGCCCTCTGCATCACAGGTGACAAATTTGGGCCGCACAGCACTGCAGAGGCAACTGTATTTGACCACCCCTGATCCTCGATCAACTGTGAAACACCAAAGCTTTCCACCTTCCACATCCGTTACTACAAACTGGCCAGATGGCAGGGCTGTGATGCCCCATGGTTTGCTCAGCTGGCTCCTGTGACAGGCCACACAGTGGCCATCTAAGGTATATACCTTGAGGGAGTTATCATAGCTGTCAGTCACACCAATTAGCCCATGGCAGTTCATGGCCACTGAGAGAGGAGTGAGGTTGGGTAGATCCGCCCCAAGAAAACTTAGCACAAAGCTATCAATGCCACTGGGGCTGCGGCGGATTTCCTTCAAAAAGCCTTTGCGGGTAAAGACTTGTATACGATAGTTGCCACGGTCAGCAACTAGCACTTCACCTTGACTGGTCACGTAGAGACTGACTGGAAGATTGAACATTCCTGGAGTGCTGCCTTTGGCCCCCATCTTCTTGAGAAAGAGGCACTGCTGGATATTGGAGGCTGCCTCAGGACCCCGCTGTTTAGCAGGTGAGGCCCTAGGGCTGGCAACCACTTCCTCCGGGCTCATGTCCATCTCTCTAAATGTAACAGAGGTAGAGGCAGCAGAGGCTGCAGCTTCCATGGCCCAGGAATCTTCCATGTTAACTGTTCGGGGCTTCTTAACAGCTTGCCCAATTTGAAGGGGGCCAACATGACCTACCTTAAGGAGCTCCACATCTTGCAGGGTGAGCTCCCGAGGCAAGCTGGCAGTGAGCTCTGGCTCCTCCTCATCAGCTGTCTCCTCCAGTAGTGCTACATCTGCCTGCTTAATTTTGGCCAGGAAGTAGTCACAGCGAGACACAGCCTGCACCTCTGCAATGTTAAGCAGGTAACTCTGCTCCTCTACCACTTGACTATTGCACTTCTCAGCTTCAGCCAAAGAGCCTGTGAAGAACTTCCGAGAGCGAGCCAGCTCATCCTGGACCCTGCGCTCCTCATGTCCATACTCCTGGAGAACTGCTTTATACCTTGCCTGAAGGTCCTTGGAGACACCTTCCAAGGCTACCTTCCGCCGCTGCAGCTCCCCCATAAGTTCCCGCAGACGAGTCAACTTCTCTCCAAAATCCCGACGCCGCTCCTCAGCTGCCTCTTTGACAGGGAGTGTACAGTGACCAGGAGGCTGATGGTCTGCCTCCCGGCAGGGCTCACATAATACCAAACCGCAGCTCCGGCAGAACTGCCGGGGCAGACGCCGCCCACAGGACCGACACATGAGCAGCCCCACAGCCTCACTGAGCCCAGCTGTATCAATGATCTTTAGCACTGTCAGATTGTCTGTCAGCTGGGTCAAGCTGGTTATGCGGGTAATCTTGCTGCAAAAGGGACAGCGGACACCATTGATGCTACTGGCCAATAGCTTCTCCAGGCACTGGCGGCAGATGGTATGGCCACAGTGCAGGAGCTTGGGCCGCAGCTGCTCTTCTGTGAAGGACTCCATGCAGATGGGGCATTCTAGCACTTCCCGGAGGGCATCCAGGTTCAGGTGAGAAGCTGCTGCTGTAGCCATTGCTCTTTCTTTGAAGGGTACTGCTAGCACAGCTCAGAACTGAACAGCACAGTATTCATGCCCTAGAGGGTCAAGTTCCTGCTAAAGAGAAAAAGAAACCATTATTCAATTTCCTCTGACTATATAAATCAGTTCACTGAAGAAACATTTAGAGAATAGCTATGATCAGTCGTTCAGTCATTCACTTACTTAACAACTATCTTACAGAGGTCTATTATGTGTCACGTGAGGGTGACTCATAGGGAAACAAAACAGATGAAACACTGCATAGTGGATAATAATTCAGATTCTGTAGTCTAAGATGCTTACTTAGTTGCAATGACCATAAGGAAGTAATTCAAACTTCCAAAAGCTCTTTCCCCATCACTCATCTATAAAATAGAAGTAGTAATGGTGTCTGCTTTATATGGTTCTTGTAAGGGCTAAGTAGCAAGATAAATACGATATGCTTGATATAGCACCAGGGAAGTAATATACTTGTAATAAATGCTAATAATTATTTTGCTATTTCGTGAATTTTACAACTCATAATTTACACTAAGAGAAAAGCACAGGAGAATTACATACAGTAAAAGGAATAAGTATAACATGCAGGTCCACACGATGTCATGATAGATATGGTGAATGGAATGATGGATTCTACCTAACAGACTTGGGGAAGGCTTCCCAAAAGTAAAGGGCAAGTTCGCTTGATTTTAAGGACAAAGCAGTATTATCCTTAAGATACGTCTTGAAAGAAATAAAGCAATGAGGGATAAAGGTACTTTAAGAAAAGAAAACCGTAAGCAGAAGTGTGGAGGTTTTTTTCTTTTTTTAATCATGTCATAGAGTTTATTGTGTCATGTTTGGGGACCTAGGAATCATCCACAGAAGTAGAAAACTGTGATGATTAGCTTTAGGTGAAGTGCAAAACATCAGATCAGAAAATACACATTTTCCATGCATCTATCCTCTTACCTAACTCACCAATCCACCCATCTAAGTCTAGGTATCTTGTTCTGTACTAGATACAAGAGGTCTTCAGGATACAGATTCTGCTCTTCAGATATTCAAGCTTTATAAAAGACATGTAGGCAAATAATAATGAATGCAGAAAGTAGTACTATAAATGAAATAAAAACTAAGTTTGATGGGACAAGTTGAGGAGTCGTTCTAATTTGAAGGGAAACAGAATTTTCAAAGGGAAGATGACATTTGATATTGGCCTAGAAAGATACATAAATATGTGGAAAAGGAAGAAAGAAGTAGGCAAAAGGTACAACCTTAACCAAGTTTAGAAGGCATGGGAAAGGACAAGAAGTTGTATGTATTAGAAAGAAAACGGAGAATACCTAAACTCTATGCATTTTATTTTCTCCATCTGTAAAATGGAACTAATACTGTGTTTACAGAGTTAATGTAAGAGTTAAATAATATAGAGTGTATAGAGTGCTAAGATTTGGCTCTGCACCAAAAAAGTCCTAAATGAATTTTTGTTCTCTTTTTTATTACCCTTAGATTAAAACTGCAGGAGTATACATGGGAAATAGAGTAACAGACTTGAAAAGGTAAATTGGGGGAATAATTAGAAAAGGTCTTCAGAGCCAAAAATGAGATTTTTGACTTCATTTTCAAGGGCATAGTGAGACAATTAATGTTTTGGAGCAGGGAGTAATATGATCAAAGCTGGAATGGAGTGGAGAAACAAATCAGAGAAGATAGGGGTAATGGGGAGTCTGAACTAGGAAGCAGGTGGTGGAAACAGAAAGGTGCATTTGAGCAATATCCAGAAGTATAATCAGTAAGATTTGAGAGGTGAATGGATTATGGTGGGGGAGTGGTAAAGAGCTAAGATAACTAAAGACTCAAGCCCAGATGATTTAAAAAAATGTAGTGCCGCCAGGCGTGGTGGCTCATGCCTGTAATACCAGCAATTTGGGAGGCTGAGGCGGGCAGATCACGAGGTCAAGAGATCAAGACCATCCTAGCCAACATGGTGAAACCCTGTCTCTACTAAAAATACAAATATTAGCTGGGCATGGTGGTGTGTGCCTGTAGGCTGAGGCAGGAGAATTGGTTGAACCTGGGAAGTGGAGGTTGTAGTGAGCCGAGAGCACCACTGCACCCCAGCCTGGCACCTGGCAACAGAGTGAGACTCTGTCTCAAAAGAAAAGAAAAAAATAGTAGTGTCTTATCAAGACAGTTTATTTCTGGTTTTGAGTACCCTCTGCTTCACCGAGTACCAACTATGAACACGCCTACCCGCTTGATTTGCTTATGAAGTTGATCCAGAAAGATCTTGATGCTCTGTAGCCTTATGTCACTGTCTACTTATACCCCAAATCAGAATGAATAGGTCTAGCAAGGTGAGGCATATGATAAATTTAGCATTTCATATATGCAAATCCTGCAGCTGTACCTGTGCAGTCTTGTGATCTGCAGATGGTCACCCAACAAGGAGAAGAGGAAGTAAAGGGCAAGTTCGCTTGACTTTAAGGACAATGCATCTAGCTCAAGAACATTTTGCACGTGACATCAACTATTTCTCCAGGCATAGAGAAGGGGAGTTAATGTAGAGATACATATTATAACAAATTTCTACCATATTAGCTCTGGAATACAATCTGACAAACAGCAGCAGACAAACACAGTTATCTAAAGTCAATCCTTCCTCCCTGAAATCCCACTTCCTTTGTACTGCAAGAAAAACTATGCATCTAGTGCCTATTATGTACTAGTTATTATGACAGATATTCTATGTGCTTAATCTCTTTGAATCTTCATGATGACACTATGAAGTAGGTAATATTTTTATTTTACGATTTTACAGATGAGGAAACAATATTCAGAAAAACTTGCTCAAGGTCATGCAGCTCAAACATGGTGGAACCTTGCAGTACAGATATTTTTACTTTTTTTTTTTAACCCAACATAGCTATTTTTTACTGTCACATAACAATGATTAACTATGTTCTCTTGACCATGCTCTGGGGAATGCTGCCTTATAGCATCTGCATTTTCTCCATATGAGAGAAGGAACAATAATATAGTTATGAGATTCTGCTGCTATAAAGTGGGATAGATTGATTTATTAGCTGAGTGAGCTACTCTCACATAGCAATCTTGCAATCCATTATGACTCAAATCCATACCTCAGCAAAGTAACATTTACCACATATCATGAGCCTATGAGGTCTGATGTGGATATCTGAAACTATGCATGCTGAATTCTCAAATGCCAAGTGTCTGGGGCAATAGTATAGACATATTGATAGAAATTTCAACTCAGGGTCCATGCAGCCCTTCTCAATGCTAAATCAAGAGCTTCAGTTCTCTCTTCTATTGTCTGAGACAACAGACTGAGGGCAACATTTGGAGTCTGAATCTAGAATGTTACCTTACAACGCACAGGGACATCTGTGTTATTCCCAGAGTTGGCAATGCAGATCAGCTTATTAAATAAGGGTGTCAACTTGCAAAAATAACAGCCAATTATTTCCCACCTTTCAGGAATATCTTATCACTCCTTCAATTAAAAAGCTTCCTACCTCTCTAAGACATCGACTTTAACAAATGAATTTGCTATTTCCACATCCCAAAATTATCTCAGCTGACTACAGCTTCACCAAGCTCTCTGAGGATATCAAGAATTAATTCCTGCCCCAAAGCTGCCGTGCTTTGCCAGGAAAACCTGTGTTCCCCTCACTAAAGTATGAGGCATGGATATAGCTACAGACCCGGAAAAAGCCAGAACCACTTTTCCCATTTCCATGACTTGAAAACATGCTTTGTAAAGGATCCTAGCCTGAAACGGAGCTAAGAGACAGGCAGATACAGCCTGTCTCCTCCAGCAGGGCACATCTTGTCATTATTGTTAATACTGATAATGACTCAGATAGAAGGTCAATTTGACTTCAGTTTCCCCAAAAGACTACACAAGTGAAAGGAATTGTCTTATCATTCCAAATCTTTAAGTAAGCTGCCGATTTTCTGCCGGCTATAAACTCTGCAACCAATCAGAATGAATATCCAACCTGCTATATCACCTTGGCTCTCTTCATGATCTCTTGAATGTCTGCTTCCTGTTGTGCACTTTGTGCCATTAATTCTTGACCTCCCACCTCATCTAACATCAACTTACCAGCTTCCCACATCCCTTGATCTAATGATTAATACTGTACATCCCCCACCATATTTTACCAGCACATCTCTTCAGCTCCCAATGAGAATCTACTCCTTAAGCTGTGTCTACCCCTGTCACCCTAAGATTCAGAAAAATTACATAATTATATTCCATACTAATCTAGCCTCTTCTAGCACCACAGGGTTTTTCCCCATCCCATGAAATGAGCAACCAAGATAGTAAAAAAAGCAAACAAAACACAAAAATGAACCCCGAAGTTATATAGAACTGAGATCATATCTTAGTACTGTCACAAGTTGTGGGGGAGTAGGCAATTTATTTAACCTGACTAAACCTGTTTTCTTAGTTTACAAAAAGAGTTCTGTAATGCTGAGGGATAATGCATATAAAGTACTTAGCCTGATACTTGTAGGTCACAATAAAAGGATGCTAAATAAATAACCACCAGAAACAGCATTAACAATAACTAGTACTAGTAGTAATAACGCATTCAGTTTACAAACTAATTTTGAAAGTATGAAGAACCTTTCTTTTCATGGCATATAAAGGCACATAAAAATTAATAAAAGGGCTGGTCAGTTTTTGAGTGTTCTGATTGAGAATGCTAGACTCCAGACTAAAAACTGATGGGTAAATGAATTTACAACTTCTCTTGCCCAGAAAATGAGCTGCTGTAGCTCTTTCTAGTATGAAATGCTAGAATGCATAGTAATCTCCTCACTTGAGACCAGTAGGCTGAGGTTGCAGTGAGCTATGATGGTGCCACTGTACTTGAGCCTGGGAGAAAAGGGAAAAAAAGGTAGTAATCTCAAGTTGTAAAATAGATGAGAAAACTAAGACCAGGAGAGGGAAACTAAGACCACACATCATTCAACAGAACTAGGACGAAAAGACACGAACTAGGAGTGGGCAGTATTATGCAGATTAAGGAAGCAGGCCTGAGGGATCAGGCTTTCTCGATATGAATTCACACTCTTTACTATGGAGACATGGGCAAGTTATCAATACTTCCGTAGTTCTCAGTTTATCTATGAAAAGGGGCTTTAAAACAGTATCTTCCTAACAAGATTATTATAAAGATTAAATAAGATTATGTGTGTAAAGCAGTAAGTATAGTACTAAGCCAGGCATACAATTTATTATATATAAATAATAGTTTTTATTATTAGTAGCAACAGTAGTAGTGGGAGGAGCAGCTGCTGCTGCTACCACCCAACCTATTAGAAGAAATGAATAGGCACTTTTCAGCATACTGTATCCAAAGCCTCAGATACATATACCTAAATAATAAAAATTCTGAGCCCTCCTAGAAACTGCTTTACCTGATCCCAGAATCAAAAGATTAGAGATGATCTAAAGTTTCAAATCCTCATCTAATGCTTGAATCTCCACCATGGGTAGTTCTCTAGATGTCTCTATTTCCTATACTTGTATCAGCCTTTCGTGGCTTAGGCCACCAGCAAAACTGGGGAACTTTAAGCAATTAATGAAACAAATCTTTACTGGGCATTTACTATGTGTCTGGTGGTCCTGTGAAAGGTACTAGTGATACAATTTTGAGCAAAACCCAGATATAAACAGTGCTTTCCCCTAAAAACTAGACAACATGTAAAATACTGCATTTCCTTTCACAAGATATAAAGGTCCATCCTGCTATGGACATGCTCTGTTGATTTGACTAGGTTTTTTGCAAGATTTATCATATTTCCATTTTTTTTTTTTTTTTTTTTTTTTTTGAGACGGAGTTTCGCTCGTTACCCAGGCTGGAGTGCAATGGTGCGATCTCGGCTCACCGCAACCTCCGCCTCCTGGTTTCAGGCAATTCTCCTGCCTCAGCTTCCTCGTATTTTCTTTTATGTCAGCTTTCTAAACTTTATTCCTCATATAGTCTAACAGAATGCTAATCAAGTGCAAAACTATCTCTGTGCCACCAAAAGCCACTGGTTAGCTGGACTGACTTTAAGGAAGTCAGTGAGGTCATCACCTGACATCCAGTCCTGTGTGTGGGACAGGATTCTGATGAAGTTTATTCAGGGCACTTAAGGCACCTGCAGACAACTAAGATAAACAACAAGTAGGGGCTTATAGGGAAACACAGGCATGCTCCTGAAGTTGTACCAGTCTGGGGCAAACAAAACGATCCAGAAGGAAGTATGTTTGTAGAAAAAGAAAACTTTAGCTAAACAATGTCAAGAGCAGGCTAAATGAGTAACAGGGTTTCCTGAAAAACATGCTTGCCTGTTGTCTCTGTCTTCCTCTAAAACTGCAGGACCTAAGAAAGACTCCCTTGCATCTTTCACAAACCTTTTAGTAGTACCTATGCTGCCAGTATGACTCAAGGAATACAAGACAAAGGAAAAATAGCCTTTTCTCATGGACCTCCATCTCACCTTAACCCACTCTCTCTTTCAGTTCCTTTCTCTGCATATAACATCTGTCCATTTAATCATGAGATTTTGATTAAAGAATCAAGGAGATCCTAGGAAATATACAAAATGGGATGAAAATTTTGGGGAGACTAGCAGAGACCACTTAGGGTTAGCAAAATCTGGCAAAGAGCCTGGGCAACATAGCGAAACCCGTCTCTACAATAAATTTAAAAAATAATCAGGTGTGGTTGGGAGGTATGATGTGGGAGGATCACTTGAGCCTAGGAGGTCAAGGCTGCAGTGAGCTGTGACTGCACCACTGCACTGCAACCTGGGTGACACAGCAAGACCCTGTCTCAATAAATAAATACAAATAATAAAATAAAAAAATAAATTTGACAAAGCAACACTTAGTTTATCTTTCAGCACTGCCTTCCTCTCATAATTGGTAACTGTCTTCAACTACTACTTATTGTCAGGCATGTTTTATACGTTCTCATATTATCATAATAACCATGTAAAAGTATGTGTCATTCCTCTTCAAAAACAAGTAAACCAATGCTCAGAGAAAAGTAGCCTGTCCAAGGTCTCAAAACCAGTAAGTAACAGAACAAGGATTCAAATCCCAGTTTCAACTCCCAGCCATAAAATCACTAACTTAAAGGATGTTGTATAGTTTCCTGGCTTTAGACAAAGTTTGGCTGATATGTTGGTAAGGGCTCCTAGAAATGATTTCTAAATTTGATTGTTTTACCAGAAAGACATGATGAAGGGAATGTCACAAAGGTTACACATCAGTGTGCATAGACAATGATCTACTTTAAGGGCCTTACAAACTTCTGGCTTCCAACTACTCTCCAGACATAAACATAGGGGTTCTGAAGGGCTGGAAAAGCCTTCTAAGAAAACTACTATAATGTAACATAGGAATAAGACAGAACTGGGTTTGCATCCCAACCCTAGCCACTTGCTCTGTAGCCCTGGGTACGTTCTCATCTGTAAACAAGGAATAAAACCCAGAATGTTAGCAGGATGATTGAATTCACTAAGATAACACACATAATAAGCACTCAATAAATGATCATCATGTGCATTTTTAATAGATTGAGGGTGACAGGACAAGTACTTGTCCAAGTAGCATAAGAAATTAGCAACAGAGTAAGGAGTTTAGACAGGGCTGACTGAATTCCCATGACATATTTTCTTTTAGGGATGTGCGCGGATGTTCCAGCTAAACCTTAGCAGTCAGATGCAGTCTAGCTTTGTTTCTGAACTGGCTTCAGCAACGCTGTAGCTAGTCCTGGAGATGATAGAGCCAATGCTATTATTTTGTTCCAGGGAAAAGCAGCCCAAAAGAGATCACACAGAACAGTGATTACTCTCCTTCAGAATATGAATGCCTTAAGCCTCAGTCCCTGCTATGAGGTGTTTTCTCAAGCCAACGGCCTCCATACCTCACCCCATAGTCTGTTGCACCTCATTCTGCCTGGTAACCTCAAACTCGTCTCCTTATCTAGCCCCTGGTCTTGGTCTAAGAGCAAACCAAGAACAAAGTCCAGGGCTCCTCCCTACCTAATCAGAGAGATTTACCTTCTCCGCCCCCCCACCCCCCCACCCCGCCACCCCGTCTTTGATAGTCACTGGGCAATCCTCTTTTTCATTAGAGGGGAATGGGCTGAGAAAATAAGACTAAGCAGGCCTTAGAAAGGAAGTAGCAAGGAAAAAGGGAATATACAGAGCTACAGAGATTTGGGTATGAGCTTATGTGTCATTCCTAGCTATGGAAACTTAGGCAAGTCACTTCCTAAGCCTTAGTTCCCTCGTGTAAAACTGAAAACAGCAGAGCCTACTTAGAAAGATACGAAAACTGAATAAAGAAGTAGATATAAGACTAAAAGTTACTAGATTTTGAGAACATACTATGTGCCAGATCCTAGGCATGCTAATTTATTTCACTAAATCCTCACAATTCTGTGACATAGGTCGTTATCATAACCCCATTTTACAGGTGAAGAGTCAAGGCACTGGGTGGTTAAGTAACTCATTCAAGGCCACAAAGTCAGGAAGAGACAGAGCTAGGGCTTGAACCCAGGATATCTGACTCTAGGGCAGAGTGCCTCAACTTTGGCAGTACTGACATTTTAGGCAGGATAATTCCTTACTGGGGAGCAGGGGCTTATCCCATGCATTATCAAATGTTTAACATTAACATAAAACATTAACATGTTTCATCTACCCACTTGAAGCCAGTAGTATTCCCCACCCTAACTGTGACAACCAAAAAACATCTCCAGACATTGCCTAATGTCTCCAAGGTGACAAAACCACCCCTGGTTAAGAACCACTTCTTTATAGTCTGGCACAGGACTAAATGCTCAATACATAAGGGTTCCCTTTTATTTTTGTCTCTCTCAGAGCCCAAACACCTCATTCACAGAGGCACCGCCCCTTCAAGCTGTAATGGATCTTAGATAGGATTAATTATTCCACTTATTCCCCTGGAGGTCTCACATTCTATCTGCTATCGCAGCTTGTGGGTACAAGGAAAAGGGGCTTAGGTAGATGACCTTGAATAGTTCCATTTCTTCTTCCCCAAAGCCCACCATTTTCAGTGGCCTGGGGGTGTCAGAGGGGAGTTAGTGGCAATACCATACCTGCCTCATGATAATGGATATTTGTTTAATAAATGAAGAAGATTCTGCCCTTCACAAGGATCACCACACTCCTTCAGGATCTCTGAACTGAAGATGTATCACTTCGTTCCTCAACACCTGAACTCTGCTCATCTTCATATACTCATCTATATCATACATTACTTTTAGGTCCTTGGGTCCCCTGAACTCCATCTGTCTCCCATGCAGCGATTTAAGGAAAATCTCTTCAGCAGTCCAAGACACCAGTCCACAAACCGACTCAGGGTTTTTTGATTCTATAGCCCAGTTAGGACATCTCTACCCTATGATTCAATCCTCTCCAAACCCTGTCCCCAACCCTCTTACAATACCAAATTCCAATCTCTGGCGCTGTATACTGCAACCCTCATCAATTCCTCACTCCTATGCCCCAAATCCCTCGGACATAGATCCTTTAATCCCTGTTTCCAAATCTCTGCTGCACTCAGCCCTGCACCTCAGTTCAACGGCCCAATTCCACACTTGATTTCTGCTCTCCCTCATTCTGAGCCCCCCATCTCCTGCATTCCATCAGGCACTGTGCCGCTCTCAAACCCTGTTCCTTCCTCTTACGCACTGAATGTCACATGCTGGCTTCACAGTTCAGCCAGGTCCCTTCTTTCTGCTAACAAGACAGAGTCCCTCAAGAACTCATCCCCATCCCCTCAATCTCACGCTCATCCCACTCCGAAAACCCTCTCTCACTAGCACTGAGGATCGACCTAGACCTTGCTCCTATCATCTCAGACCCTGTCCTTGCCAGATGCCTAGCGCCCCCAGATTCCCTTAAATCTCATCGGGGGTCCCCAGTTCCTTCATATTTCTGAAATTCTGCACCCAGGTCCCTCCAGGGCCCTGATTCCCTCCCATCTCCCACATGCTGCACCCCATTTCTCCTCTCGGCCCCCACATTACCTCATACCTCCCGAAATGCTTCAAACGCAAATCTCTTCAGAGCACCTCGCTCCCCTCCCCCAGCTGCATCTCCTCGGATCTCCTCAGCCCCATGAATCTCTCCCGAGCCTGCCCCTAGCAGCCCCACCCCCACCCCAGTCCTGCCCCTCAGATCCGGTCCACAGACTCTGCCATTCGGGCGCGGCCGCTGCTCGCCGGCACGGCCCTCCGCCCCGCTACTGTGCCACCGCCCACGACTCCGGCCGCGGTCCCTGGTCCCCAACCCTCCTTCCCGCCCCCTACCTGACCGCCCGCGGCTCCAACGAGTCCACCGCCGCCAGCCCACCCGCCTGCCGCCTTCTGCGCACGCGCCGCTGAGCGCCCCTTGCCGGGCGGCAACTCGCAGAGCTCCCTGTCAGTCATTGAGCCCCGCCCCCCGAGGCAAGCTGGGTCTTGTAGTGCCGCGGGGCCGGTCGGCCCTGCAGGGGTGAGCATTCCTCTGAGAACCCGGGGGCCTTAGCTACACGTAATCCAGTTTTCCGTCTCGTTGTGCAGATGAAGAAACCGAGGCCCACGGGCGAAAGGGACCTGCTCAAGTTCATTCAGTAAGTCAGGAGATAAGCCAGAACGCGTTTCTGACTCCAGTCCCAATGTCTACCCCTTACAAAGCCGTGGCTTCCAGGGTAGTCCTAATCAAAGCCTTGGCACCTCGCTGAGTCTCAGTTTTTCTATCAAAGAAATGGGCCAACGGTAGAATCAAACTTCCATCCTGGGGAAGTCGAGAACCGGGACTCCCTGGGAAGGGCAGTGCTTGGGCTCCATGTTCTGTGCTCTGACACAGAGCTGCGCTAGAGACAAGTTTATCCATGAACACATTGCTCTGTAAAGGAATGAATGTTTTGCCTACTCAGCTGGGAAGTCGACAGCAGACGCAGACGTGGGGAATACTGTCCCTGCAGACAGAGCTTCCCGGGAACCCACACCAAGTCTAGTTTTGGAGAGTCAGGGGTGAAGGTGGGGGAGTCTTACCGGGTGGGAAGTTGTCTGGCCTGAGATTTGAGGGAATCTGGGGCACTAGGCATCTGGCAAGGACGAGGTCTGATAGAGGACTGGCTGGCCATAACCTGCAGTCCCTGAGGTAGTTTGGGGACAATCGCATGCTCTCCAAGGTGACTATACTGCATAGCTTAGGAGCACAAAGGAGTTTGAAGTAGGATGGCCTTGGATTTGAAATTCCACTTAGCTATGCGACCCTTGCACAATGATAAAACCATGAACAAAAACAATAACTAACACCTTTGGATACTTGCTGTCTGGCTATAGCTAAGGACTTCAGGTGCGTGGCTCACTAAATCCTCCTAAGGACTTCATAAGATAAGGCAGCTGGTGGTTAACCTACACCTGTTGTGTAACCTAGGCGGTTACACAGCAAACCTGTGCCTGTTGGAGCCCTGATTTGTACCCGATTCTATCTGGGAACCCACTCTCTTAACCTTGTTTACTCTCTCTCCCCATTTTCTAAATTTCTAAATGAAGTTTGCTATGAAGATAAACCAAGATTATGGTAGTTTGCAGTTGGTAACTGTATTTGAAAAATTGTAATTAGCAAGTAGGGGATAAGGGAGAGGCGGTGCCAAATGCTTTCTCACTTATACTCCCTTCTTATACGAGTTAGGGAGACTTTGCATTCTTTTTTCCTGAAAACCACAGTTATCAGCCCAATGTATAAATTTCGGACTGTTCGTAGTCTTACACATATACATGTTATATGTATATGTATGTGTGTGTGTATATATATATATATCTCAATACAGACATATCGATGTTTCCCTAATGACAGAAAAGTGTTAAAAATATTCCTGGGGATCTATCTCAAGCAAGTGTTTTGAAAAAAACAAACAAAAAAACAAAAAAAAACTCCTCTCTCTTAAAAAAAAAAATCAGTGTTTGAATTTTTTTTAATGTTTAAATTACTTACCAGTTAAATGAATTATTATACTGCCCACAAACTGTTAAAGTAAAATAAACACTCTAGGAAATGCACTCATTTTTATTTTATACCTTGACATATCGTGGCACAATATTAGCATTCTTCTTACACAGAGGTATTTTTAAAATAATCTTTGTGGAGTGCTTTAAATACTCTTTATTCAGTATTTTAATGTAATAGATTTTTATTTAACGCGTAAACCACCTTTATCAGTGTAACTACACAAGGGGTTCACCTTGCCCACTGCCAAGACAAAGCTGATCCATCAAGACAGGGGAATTGCAATAGAGAAAGAGTAATTCACATACAGCTAGCTGTGTGGGAGACTGGAGATTTATTATTACTCACATTGGTCTCCTCAAGCATTCGGGGAACAGAGTTTTTAAGGATAACTTAATGGGCAGGGGGAAGCCAGTGAGCCAGGAATGCTGATTAGTCAGGGATGACATCATAGGGAGTAGAAGCTGTCCCATTGCACTGAGTCAGTCCCTGAATGGGGGTCCCCAAGATTAGATGAGCTAGTTTATAGATCTGGGTGGTGCCAGCTGATCCATCAAGTGCAGAGTTTGCAAAATACCTCAAGCACTGATCTCAGGAGCAGTTTAGGGAGGGACAGCGTGTTGTAGCTTCCAGCTGCATGGCTCCTAAACCATAATTTCTAATTTTGTGGCTGTTAGTCCTACAAAGACAATCTAGTCCCCAGGCAAGAAGGAGGTCTGCTTTGGGAAAGGGCTGTTACTGTCTTTGTTTAAATGATAAACTACAAACTAAGTTTCTCCCAAAGTTACTTCAGCCTATGCCAGGAATGAACAAAGACAGCTTGGAGGTTAGCAGCAAGATGGAGTCAGTTAAGTTAGATCTCTTTCACTGTCTCAATCATAATTTTCCAAAGGTAGTTTCAGTCCCTCCCTTTGGGTTTTATAACACCTTAATCTTAAGGTGTAGGTTATGAAGATAGGAAAATGCCGTTGGTCACTCTGGCTTCCTTTTGCTGACAGGGGACCTTGTGGGAATGGGAGTGAACCCCAGGGTGAAGAGAGTCAGACTGCTTTGCAACTGTCTGAGCGTACTCATGCAGGCCTGGTTGGGCTTCCAAGGCTTGCATGGCAAAAACTCTCATCTATAGTTTTAACACACCATTTAAGTGAATAGTCTACCATAAGGTAATTAATAAGTCCTAGGAATAGGAGTACAATCTTCAATTTTAAAAGCAAAGATTTGAAAGCATTAGTTTGGGGACTTCTAACCCACAATGAATTTAGGATTTAGTCAAAACTAGAAAAAACTCAAGGGCAGCTAACAATAGGTTTTCTTTTGAATCATATTTTTTCTCTCTCCAGACCCCATTTTTATTAAAAACACATCATGATAGAACTGATTTGGCCTGATTATTTGCGTAAAGTGCAGCAAGAATAATTATTTTTCACTTAAGGTCTTTTTTGTTTAAATTGGCTTTGATGGAACTCTGTTCCATGAGGAATCTCAGATGAAACTTTTTAAAAGCTAAGCTGAGCCATGGGTTTGTACCCTCAAATACCTGAGTTGGGTAAATTCCTCTCTTCTCAAGGTCCCAAGATAACTTGGAGTTCCTGGGTCTCTTAGAAAGTGACACTTTTTTTTTTTTTTTTTTTGAGATGGAGTCTTGCTCTGTCACCAGGCTGCAGTGCAGTGGCATGATCTCAGCTCACTGCAACCTCTGCCTCCTGGGTTCAAGCAATTCTCCTGTCTCAACCTCCTAAGTAGCTGGGATTACAGGAACGCACCACCATGCCCAGCTAATTTTTTTGTATTTTTAGTAGAGACGGGGTTTTACCATGTTGGCCAGGATGGTATCAATCTCTTGACCTCATGATCCTCCCGCCTCGGCCTCCCAAAGTGCTGGGATTACAGGCGTGAGCCACCATGCCTGGCCTAGAAAGTGACATTCTTTACTTACCACAGATCAGGAAACTTTTACAGGGACTGTGTAGACAAGGTCTGATGTTAGATTCCCCAAGGGGCTTTAATTGGCTCTGTACATTAATTTTGATTCTTTGAAGGAAACATGCCATTCCAGTGAAAGCTTTGGTAAAATAACCAACTTCTCCAATTGTGTCATGTTATAAAAGAAAACAGATTTTTATTGCACTTATGTAATTAACTATACTCCCATAAATTGCGATTACTTACAAATAGTTGCCATATTCTGGAGAAGTCACGTAGAGAGAAACAAATATGCTCCAACATTTTTTCACAGAGTATTTTTTACTCATTAAAAATTTTAAAAAACTCTAAAGAAATAAGCTATCTTGACTCTTAAAATGAAAGGATTAGCAATGTTTAATACATCAACTATCCATGAGAATCCTAGAAGTTTCATTTTTTTCCTCTATTCCCATAAAACAATAATTTAAAGTTACCTGAAACCTTCACAAGACAAAATGTTTTAGATGACAAAAGTCTATAGCCACAATTAAAGCTACAATTAGCTAGGAATCTTGGTTACTTCTGTGACATACAACAATTTTATATAGCAATTATAATTATTAATGTACTCTAAATCGTGTCAGAATTATAGAAGTTTCCTATAATTTTTGGAATTCATGGTAACATATTTATACAAATACAGTCCAATGAAAACCAAACACCATTTACTCTCCAATTTGAAAGTTTTTCCTTGATTCTAATGTCACAATCTCAAGTTTTTAATCAGAACTGGCATTTAAGAGTGACTTTTAAATTTTATAGCTGATTATGAAATCATCTTTTAAAGAGGACCAAAATGAGACAACAATTATAAGTGGATGACAAAACATTTTAGGTCAGCTACACTTGAAGACACGATTGACAAGGGAATTTGTTACCTACCTGGAGCGTAGTCATTTAACATAATAATTATTACTGATAACATATTAAGTCATTAGAATTACAGGAGTTTTATGTAATTTTGGAACATATGCCAATAACACGTTTACACAAATGTTCCAAAGAAAGCCAAACACCATTTCATATTTGACAGTACTTGCTGTATGAGTCTCATATGAAATAAGCCAAATGTCATTTCTGGACTTTAGAGGATTTAATATCTAAAAGATTAGGCTAGAAAGAGACATAATTTATAATTTGATTTTCGAAATTTTGTCAAATATGAAAGGTTTAAAACACCGATATTACAAAATGGAATCCCAGGTCACCATAAGTCATCCATTTGGCCCAAATGATAACCAAAAGTCATTCATTTGACCAAAATGATAACTTCAAAAATTTTC